CTGTAGCAACAAAGGAAACTGTTATACTAGCACTACAGTGCTTTTCAAACTGCAACCATTGTCGTTGGCAGTTGGCATCATGTACAAAGTCTTTTCACTGGATCCACCATTGCACGTGCTTTCTTCGCTTTGTGTTTTGATTGGATACCTCGTGGTCCATGCAGCTGCCCAACACAAATCACTAACGTTCACGATCTCGACGCGAGCGGTTGTACGTAGCGGATAAGCGACTATACGACGTTTATGTAGTAGAGGAAAACAACAAAAAGTGTATGAAATAAAGTGAGGTAAAAGAAAGTGGAGGTGGAAAGTAGGCAGAAGAGCGGACGAAAAAGAAAAGCGAGGTGAAAAATTAAATGAAAACTTCGTTAGAGATTTGAAAAAAAAACACAAACAAAAAGAAGTGCGCGCGTGTTTTTGTGTAAAATTATTTAATGAAATTTTTTTAAAATTCGTTTAATTAAAAGAAATTTTTTTTTGCTTGGCTATTGATGCGCATTAACCAACTTTATATGAACGATTGTGCATTGTAGTTCTTTATGTAATGTGCCAATGACAAATAAACAGAAATCACAAAAAAAGGGGAATAGTAAATTTTAAAACAAGAAAGGGGAAAATAATAAGCGCTTTGGTATAATGTGTGTGTCTCGATGCTTGAGGTTGCCTTCAGCACGAAAAAAAAAAACGCTTTGATAGCGGCTGGCAGTGACACAATTTCATCTAATTAGTAACTGACTTTCATTTCAAATGAATCATTACAAAAAAATGAGAATAAAAGAAGAAAAATATTTTGTGCATATTTTTATTTATTTTTGCTTGCTATTGCTTTAACTATTTTTCATGTCAACATGACAAGCTTTCTGTGTATGCACGAATGTTATTGTTTTTCAAAGCATGTGCTTAGCGTGTTGCATAAATAATTACATTGACAAATAATTGCATCGCAAAACCTTGCCTCCCTCTGCAACCAGCAGCCATTGCTGCTCTGCTGCTACACTCGCTCGCGAATGCTAATACCGTCGCTGTTTAATCATTTCCAAGTGCAGCAGATGCAGTTGCGGCGGCATCGCCAACAATTGAAAACAGGTTGACTGCACTGCAAACAAACAACAACACAACTTAGTTCTGAAGACCATGAATGAATAGTAAATTGTATTTGCATAGCGACTTTTGTGTTCCGCTTTTTTGCCTTTTTAGCCTTGTACATACATACACCCCTTGCTGGCCCCCCTGCTTGCTCTTCTAATTGAGATTTGCGTTTGCGTCTGCTTGTGTGTGATTTACTAACCGCGCCACTTAACAAGTTGACTTTTGAACTCTTCGGTTGCTCATACATACATACATACATACATTTACATATCGCAGACGATCTTCAAAGGTGAAACAACTCAAAATTACAGGTTCGTCAGAAAATGCGAAACAACTATTTCTTAGATATGCTAATCAAATGGGCAAAGGAGACTTTACATTAGGTTTTTTTCAACAAATTATAACAAAAAATTTGCTACAGCATTTGCTGAAAGGTAAATAAAAGCGCTGCATTTTTAGTGCATAATTTAAAAAATGTCAAATTTTGAGTTGTGTCACTTTTGAAGATCGTGTGCGCGATATGTGGCAAAGCATTCTCCTTGCTTACTGAATTTTTCGCTAAGTGGCTTTTCTGCCAGGCGTGGAAAGTGTTTGCAGCCCAACTTATTCAACGCGAATTAAAGATGCGTGAAGCGTTAAACAGCCTCAACACTTGTCGCTGGCTTTTAAGCAATTCAAATACTATTTTGTTTAATTAGTCATTTAATTAACTTTAACTTGGCCAACTAGGCGTATGAGGAACTTTTGGTGCTACGAAATTCGTATGTATGTATGTATGATACCAGTTATCACGGCACTCTCAACCAGTGTTGTTGCGAATATTATTCCAAAATAAAAGTCCTTTTGCGGATAATAAACAAACGGCATGTCCAAATTAAACAAATTTGGTATCATATGAAAGAGGACTTGAGAACGACTAGATGACGAAGAGATGAAAGCTTGCATTGAGCTTAATGTGATGTTATTGCGAGTACTGAAGCCCCACTCTCTCCAAAATGGGTATTCGCAACGAGCTTGCAGGAACACGATATGCCCAATCCCTCAAGGAATGTAATTACTCAGCATCTGTGGGATCCAGCTATGCTAATTAAATTTGTCAATTTATATAGCCTAGTCCGCCGTCGCACAGTGATGTCATACTAGAATTTACTGTTAAAAATTTCGGTCTCACTTTATGCAAATTAATGAAAATGCATAGCCCCGTTTGGAAAAAAATATATATTCAGTCAATTAAAACTTGGACTTTATTTAATGGACTATAAAACAGTATACCTGAATATTATATGAAAATAAAATAAAATTTTTTTGTGAAATTTTATTTCAGAAACTATTATTTTGCAATCTACTAACGATTCCGATTTTTGGGCGGATTTTTCCCTATATTCCCTATATTAATAAGAATGATGGTTGCACTCGCCTAGAGAAGGGAAATGACAAGAATGATCTTTCCACATTTTTTGTTCTCTGTTCTTTCTTCAAAATTTGTATCTACCAGGCTGTAAAATATGAAACACATTAATGTCTGATATTGTATCAAGAAATGACTTTTAAGAACAAGTTTTGAAATAAAGGAGAAAGTACAGCTTTAGAAAAATAAATAAACTACTACCCAAGAAAAAGGACTGTCCTTTGAAATAAAGTACGGATGGTCACCACACCAATAGTAGTATAGGATGAGTGACTATTAAGCCATAAAGCGCTGATAGGAATGCATATTCAAGTAATGAGTTCAGAATTATTAAATGAAATCATTGCCTTCATCAATCAGCATGCATTTACATAACTACTGTGGGATTATCACTGGGATTTTAACAAAAAATATGTTTGGATTAGTTATATGCAAGACTAGACTAATCCAGCAACTCCCTCCACTCCAACAGCTGAGACGTATTTTTAGCATAAATTACATTTGAATCTTACCAATAAAGCTACCAGGGTGGATCAGTGAGTCCATGATTTTTTGAACTTCTCGTATTACAACTTGTAAAGTCAGAAGTTTTATGCTCTCACCCTCTAGGATTGTTCTATAGCGAAAAAATACACACCAATTTTTTTTTCTTGACATCGAAAAATATTTATAGCTCGCTAAAATCGCTCAAAGTCTTCCATGTGTTTTTTTATGGGAAAAAACAACTTTTCGTAGAAATGGTATAGAATCCTTGATCGATCGATATTTTTCGATCGGTAAACTCTATTTTTCTTCCTAGGCAAGAGACCCATACCGGGCTTGGTAAGGATTGGTGAAGCGGAAACCGAGATACAGCATTTCATCATAAGTGGACGGGGTCACGCCCATTTTCCAAAAAATTCATAATAATATTATTTTGTACCAAAATTATACTTCACCATTTAATTTTCAACAATTAATGGAAAAATCCGCCCAAAAATCGGAAAAACTGGGAATATTTATATCTATGTAATTTTTAGCTATAGCCTTTGTATTTCTGAGAGTGGAAGGCGGAATACTCAAAAATTAACCGAAATTCCACCACATTTAATGATTGCGCCCATATTTTTTTTTTTTTGAGTTATAGACGTTTTAGTGATCGAATCTTTCTAATAAAAGAGAGAGTACAAACTAAATTTCATCGAAATCGGATGAAATTTGATCTTTCCGCCTACAAAGGTGAAGGGCGTGGCATTAAGCCCTTTTTCAAATACCATACTTCATAATTCCCTTTTTCTAAGAAATATTCTTTCCACTTGCCTCCATATAGTCGAAACAATGTGCGGCGCACAGTGGTGCCAAACTAGAATTTACTGTTTAAAATTTTCCAGATTCCTCATTTTTCAAGTGGTATGATTAATTTTCTCTTTAAATGGAAACTAATAAAATATGTGCGAATTTTTATTTGTTTATATTTAATTTAGTGCAAAGTGCAGAGAAACAACCGATTTTACTGTTTCTGTAAATAAATGCTCCTTAACAAAAACTAGTTGCAAAAAAAAAAAAATTGTACAGTTCCCGAAAAATGAAAATGATTGCAAAATAATAGTTTAGAGATTGTGAAAAACTTATTTTTCTCAACTGGTAATGTATTGTATTGGAAAGAGTCACACTGCAGCGAGAAGCCCCCATTGTGATATATTCGGATGAATTGATGTGTTCCGCATCCACTTTTCCATGTAAATGATCTATTTACTGTTACTTATACAGCGAGGAAAGCTGTCAAATCTCAAGGGTTTAAGTCCGCGGAGTAATCGTTTTAGAGAAGCTTCAGACTACGTTGCCGTATTTAGGAAAAGTCATAAAACCAATCTCTGAGCTAAGGTAGAGTCGATGAAGAAGAATAGATGTGAGCCATATGTAGTTTGCTTGACATTTCCGGCAGAATTGAACGACTACAGATCAGTTCGCTTCCGTGCCAGATTATTCGCAATGCTGTTGCTAGTAATATTTCGGTGGCCGGGAGCCCAGACTACATTCTTTGTAGCCGAATTGCCTGGAAGCATTCTGCCTTGAATTGCCATCTTCGAAAAGGTATTGTTGTTGCTAAGCAGATATTGAATCGAAGTTTGGTTTTCAGAGTGGACGGTGTTAGTGTATGCTATTACAGGATCACATCATCATAATATATCTTAACTCAGCTTGGGACACATCACTGTAGCTTAGCAGTATTTATTCCGAAGGGGTGTTGTAGCTGACTTTACTATTTATGTACATAGATTAGTGCCATCGCTGAACATTGAAATGTAACTAGAGTCTTACTATTTTACGCTGTTCCTGTCGCTCCCAAAACTTATAACCATTTCAGCTAGACTGAAGTTGGTGGTGTTGAAAAAAGCACAAAGAGAACTTTACGAGCTTTGCTGGGTGTGGAGGTAAAGGCCCTCGTGATAAGCGCCTTTTCCAATTTTGCTTGTAGATGTGTTTTTTCCAAGCTTTCATCACCATACTATAACTCCGAAGAAAAGAATGGGCTTTACATCAGCGGTGCATAGCTGATGAGCTAGCTATATGTAAGTGGCTATGTGTGGCTACAAACCACATCTTTTGCCTATATCCTTTTGTTTAGTATTATTATTCCGATAAAGCGCGTAGAATATGAATAATGAAAACTTGTACTATATCAAGTCAACAAAATTTTCGATGCCCAGCGAGTGCGCTTGCATTTAAATGAAGAATTAAATCGTATTTTGACGTTGAACACCAAATCAAATATTTGCATTTTGCTACTCGATTATTTGCAGTGAAATTCGAGTTACGTGCAAGCAGTTAAGCGTGTTTAGTTAAAAAAAAAACTATCAAAAATACATTCACATGTACATACATACATACATATGTATGTATAGTATATGTATGTAGCTTAAAGAATTTGCACATGAGCAAATAAATAAGTTTGAACGAAATACAATACTTGAACATAAAGTAAGTAGAATTGTTGCTCGTTTCAAGCAGTGTAACTTACGAGTATTCGGTAAAAATATACCGTCAAACATTTAAGCAATAAGCAACAAAAAGTGAAATCTGCAAGATAGCATCGCAAAATCTCTAGATCAGCAAAAGAAAAAAAAGTCGTAAAGTTACGCGCAATCTGGTTAAAATAAAAGCGTCTACTAACGTAAGCAATAATACAGCGAAAAGGCAGTGCTAAGCGACAAAAAAAAAAAAAATATTCGTGCAACACAAAAAAAAAAAACAAACTATAATAAAGCGACTAAACAAGAAACAATAATGTCACCATTTACAAGCGATTCCAACATCAACAAAAGCATCAACACAATGCTGATCCATGCAGCCATTGACGATGAGGCCGCCGCCGCTGCGGCACACGCCGACCCCCCAATGGCACGCGGCAATGCCAATAACAATGCCACCACCAACAACGACAGCGACTACGCCAACCAAAGCGGATGTTATAGTAGTATGTCGCTGATGAGTCGATGTCGTCGTGGCGCTGAGTGGTTGCGAGTTGGCGATTTGATGAGCTACCAGAATATGCTCGTCATGTTGGCGGTGTTGGTTTGTGGCCTTGCCACCGTTAACGGGCTCAAGTGTCACATGTGCGGCCAGTATAATGAGGGCGTCGGTTCCATTACGCCCTGCCTCAACTATTCGGATCAATATGCGCATCTCTATTTGAAGGAATGCTCGAAGAAAAGCGAGAAATACTGTGTGGTAAGTGTGCAAAAACGACCATGTACATATATACATATGTACATATATGTATGCAGATAAGCATTTACATGGCATAGTATTTACATACATACTTGTAATGTGACCTTCATTCACCCACCCGTTGCGTTGCGTTGTGTTGCTGCGTTACGTTTGAGTGAATGTCAACAGGGAACATAATCTACATCTATGTATGTACATATGTATGTGTGTGGGCGTAGCATATGTAGAGCCTACGACAAATGTCTTGTTTCTGCTATGCACATACATATGTACGTACTATACATTTGCATACATACATACATATCGTATTTGTATTAAAATCGTCATTGTTATGACTGTTTTAGGTATTTTTTATGTGAGACTTTTACGATGCTTTACGAACATGTATATATATATATGTCAGAGGATGTGTGATATTTCTTTAAATATCCGTATATGACTCGCATGTAATAGGAATTGTTGTAAGCAGTCGAATAAGTATAAACTTGTTTAGGTAGAAATGTGTTCGCAATACATAAGAATGTAAGCTTAAGAGCAGATATGAGCTCAAATTGCATGAGTACCTTACAAAAAGGATATCACATATGAACATACCTAAAATTCATATGTACATAAAATCTAACTAAGTTTCGTTCCTATTTAGTCTTGCTTAAGTACGTTCGTAGCAATTGCGATGCAGTGATCGCATTTCCGAAGATTTCACGATAATTGCACTACGATGGATTCAGCGATAGCCCATAATATATTATGCTGAATTTCCACTAGATATCGAAATGAAAAAAAAAATGGTACTTTTTAAAAAACGTCATGTGGAAATGAATTTGATGACTATTTTTATAATGTCACGATCCGATTCCAAATTCTCCTACCTAATATAGCTACCATTCTCTGGCAGTATGGCAATGTAAATGCGTTTAAAGTCTTTGCCTTAATTTGCAAATCGTTTTATCGCCTAAGTAGGAATATAATTGTAAGTCCGAGTATTAAATAACTAATATTTTACCGCAGAGTAAATAAAGGGTTTAAAAATTCTAAATCAAGCTATGCATAATTTTATTTTATTTTCAAGCTTTTGCGTATTTTTCTGGAATTACCACACACAAGCCCTTGTGGCAACAAAACCTTCGTCGAAGAACCTCGGCGCTTCTAGATACATTCTTTTTTTAAACTTTCTTCACCGAAAGCCTTTCTTATTAGAATCAGAAACGCAAATGCCATACCCGTTCGTATGTAATAGCCCATTTCCACCAAGAGCTTAGCTGCAGTTAACAGCTCAGGGGTTAATGCAAATAACGTTCACATGGGGTGATCAGCAAAGCTTACTTTTTACTCTCTTTTAATATGTGCAATTACCCCCTTCGAGTTGTAATCTCCTTTTTCGAATAGGCATGAACTGGAGTTTAGAGATGCTGTTTTTAAATCGAAGATAGATTCATCGAGCATTTCCGATTCGATTTTTTGTCGAATTTTTTGTTCTGAATCGATCCAGTGTATAAGTGATTAATATTTTGTAGAAAAATGATGCAGTTTTGTAGCCCATTCAATTTTAATATAATAAAGTGCAAGTTTTAAGTGGCTGCAAAATATCGTTGATTTTTGGCATTTTTTTGACAGTGCCAGTCATTTTTTTCATATGAGAATTTTGTCGAGCATACTTTGTATGGAAGCAAATGCGCTACAAAACTGCATACATACTTAAATTTGTTATATAAATGGTAATTATGCAGTTAGCGAAAACAAAAAAAAAAAATAGTTTTTGCTATTTTTTGGCCTAATCACAAATTGTTGAATATGAAAAGGTTTATTGGGCTAGTTATAGGACGTTTTTTTTTTAACCAAATTTTGACGTAGGCTGCTGAGGTAGGTCGATCTTCCACTCAGGCATCGACATGTATTTTTAATAGGTTTTTAATAATTTTCAGAGGAAACCATTTATTAATACGATTTTCAGTGCTTTTTGCTTTTCGAAGATACGTCTCTGCGCTGTCTGCTGACTTGCAGTAAAGTTGAATACCTTAAGCGCTTCTGCATCGTTGCCGATTACCAAGTTCTCAAGATGTCGGACCGTGAGTAAATACAAAGCACCGAACATAAAAGTTATTGATGAAAACTGTCATGGAAAAATTCACTATGTTCTGCAACTTCTTTTTTGTCACCGAGACTCAAATTTGAAAATAAATTTTTAACTTGGAATTTTTATGCAAAATTGAAAAAATAAATAAATTATTTTTAATAAAGTAATTATTATTTAAAAAAAATAAATTATTTTTAATTTTTATATTATAAATCCAAAATAACGATAATTTTTGATTTTTATATTATAATAAAAGTTATAACTGTTACGGTCCCTGGAGCGTAATATTCCTTAGCCAGGGTTGGACACGTTGCACTAAATTTTTAATGCACTGAGCATTTTATTGCTACTATTCGGCAGCAGTGGTAGTGAAATTTACATATACATAGTGGTAGTGAAATTTGAAATGCACTACCACTAAAGCCCTGTGGTAATGAAAATTACTATTTAGTGCAATTTGTCCAACGCTGTCCTTAGCAGACTTCCTTTTCTTAGTTCAAGCATTTTTATTTGGCAAGCTTCACATTTTTTCGCCACTTTTTCTACGGTCTCATCTTTCCGCAGCCTAACTATCATTAAAAAGTGCTACATTATGCTACAGTTTTGGACGCCACTGCATATAGTTATATCTCTACTTGATTGCCTTTACCACTGCAAAAAAAATTTATTTATTCTTCTCCAATAATAACCAACGATTTTGTGTACATTTTGGCTGCCCAGGAAATTCCTAGCTGACAAGAAATTGCTCTTGTTGATTTGTGCGAACCTTCATCAGGACAATACATATATACATACATACATACATGAGTACATTGTGAATGTGTGCGCCACAGAGCTTACACAATAAACTGAAAATGGTTACTTTTGGTATTTGTTGAAAATTTATTTTTGATGCTATTTTGCGCAGACAATCATGCAAGCCTACATATGTACATACAAACCAAAATACTACATACAATATATTGGCATCTCGGCGGAGATATGTATGTACGTGCGCACAATATGTTTACAGCCATAAATATTAATGTGATTTGTGGCCAAAATTGTATGAAAGCAATTAAATGAAAATTATTATTGTATTGTATTGTGTTTCGTTATGTGCGCAAGCAATTTCCAACCATTCAATATTTAATGGATTTGAGATGATTATATATATGTACATAGTAAGTATGTACATATGTACTTGGTTGGAAAGTCTAAATTAAATGATGCGAGTGGTGGAGAGAATGGGTGAAATGAGCGACTTAAGTTGATTAATGATAAAGGATAAGCTGTAGGCAGCAGCTTTTAAAATAATTACTAAGAGGGTTTATAAATTGTTGCTGGTAAGTTTCGTTAGCTGTGTTGATGGGAGCCAATCAATATTACCGTATTTTCAATATTACGGTATTTAGAAAAATACAGATTGATTCAGAAGAATGTTCTCGACAACATATCCAAAAAGTACCATAGAGCCTGAATGGGGGTATTCTTTTTAAATGAATGAAAAATTCACAAAAGTTGTGCAACTCAACGCCAAGAACCCTGACTGCGTCAAATCGAATGCATTAAACAAAAATTTAAAAAATAATGCTGCATTTTAGAAGAAGAAATTCTCAACATAATTGCCGTGGCAAGTATTATGCAGCGACTTATCACTTTTGCGTTATCATTTGTTCTTATTTCCTATAAGGTTTCAGCAAACACGTGGATAGTCGTACATGGCGTATGAGTAACATTATTTCCTGCTCATAAATATGTATATCACTAATTTACCATAACAGCTTTATAATGATCAAAAAATACTAACAAAAATCGTGTTAAGTATGCGAAAATGACTTCTATTAGCTGTACTAAAATATTTTTAACCACACAAAAAAGCAACTTAAAAACTTTAACTAAAAAAAAAAAATTTGTGTATGTAAAAAAGTGTCTAAAGAATATATATAAATTATTTTGAAAAATTGTCCCCGAAATTAACTGCACTCGCACCTAGAAATTTTATTTCGATCTGTAAAAGGCCATAATATAACCAAAGCCAAATTTATAACATCGTAAATTAAAATCTCCGCAAATCTCATTAAATTCATAACAATTTTTAAGTATAAAAATTACAAAAAGTATTCATTTATGTACCTACATTTTCTACAAAAGGCGTGAATAATTATGTATGTATAGTATGTCCATTACTCATAAAAATCTCAAAAGTTTTAAAACCCATTAAAAAAAATCGCCGGACAATTGTAGGGCTTCGTCGTGCCGCTACTTTAATGAGCGATAATTCATAACTTAGGCAAGTGCTGCCTTCGAGCAACCTCAACAATTCACTGCGTACGCATACACGCATACACATATAAACATATATACCAGGGATGTTAATTTTTCAGCTTTTACCGATCCCGGGATTTTCGGGGTTGTCTTTATCACAAACCCGGATCCCAGGATTAGTCCCGGGATTCAGATATTCATTACTTTCCAACAACTTAAATCGCAAAAATTGCTTCAATATTGTTTGAGAAGCTCTCCTACCATAAAATATACAATAAATAAATAAACTACTTTTTTATTTCTTCTCTGACGTCAGGATTTATCTTAAAGGAGTTTGTAATTTCAAAGACATGATTAATTCCAAAAACTATTTAAAAAATTCAATGCAATGTAGAATATGGGTAGCAAAGGCAAGAGGAAACTTCTTTAGAATTAAAAAAAAAATTAAATTTTTTTAATTCGCAACATATAATTTTTTCAAAAAACAAATATTGCGAAATTTCAAGGATAAAATCTTAAAAGGACATTTTCAATAATTACCAGTCCTTCTGCACCAAAAACTCAAAACTGTTTAAATTTAACAGGATTTTCTCTTTAATTTGGCCATGATTTCCCGAATATATTGATATTGCCAGATATTTATAAAAAAAATATTAACTATTAAATAAAAAAGAAATGT